CTTGCCAACTGTTTTCACCATGACTCAAGCACAGGTGGGGCTCTGGCGTTAAGGAGTTAGTAGCTCAGGTAAGCACACGCTCTTGCTTACTTGTCTCTACACCCTGGGGTCTTTGATTTGGGTCCTAGGATTAACTAAGGTCCCTATCCCTGAAAACACTTGCCTTCAGTGTCCCATTCCTCAGAGATGCCCCACACTCAATCTGAATCCAGACAGGAGTCTTTAGATCAGCCATTCTGAGTATACTCAGAGGCTGGTGCTACAGTGGTTTGCTACTTAAACTCACTGGACAAACAATGATTTACATATCTTCAGAGACTTGGCATACCTCCATACCTAGAGCCTATAGGCAGGGCCCAAGATTAGTTCTCCTGGTGCCTGGCACGATGCAGTCACAATCCACTCGCCACTAGTTAAGCTAGGAGAGGTTCTGATTTCCTGTCTAGGTTCAGACCAAATGTTCTTGCTCGTAAGACTTCTCAATCTAAATATACTCAGCTGAGGGTGAGGGGCTAAAGGTATGGCAGAGGCTTAGCATGGGTGAGGCCCTGGATTTGGTTCTTCAAGTTTTAAAGAAAAATGACTTTTGACTGCAACACTGGCTGTAAATCTTGCACCTCCACTAACAGAAGCTGGAAACAAACGAGTCAAGAGTATCACAGCCATGGGCCAGACCTATGGCACACGCCCAAGAACCTCCCTCCTCCAGAGGCTGAAGCAGGAGGATTACAAGTTTAAGAATGGATTGAGTTTAGAGAATGAGTTCAAGGCCAGCCTGGGCAACTTTAGTGAGACTGTTTCAAAATTAAAATTATCAAGGGAGAGGAGAGGGGCTGGAGATACAGCTCAGTGGTAGAGCATTTGACTAGCAGGTGTGAGGCGCCAGACTCAACCCCCAGTTCCTAGTATGGCCAACAGGGGTGTTGGGGGGGGGCAGACAAAAAAATTGTCACAGCAGAGCCAAGGGCACTGGGTGGCCAGAGACTCCAAGAATGTGACTGTGAGGCCACTCATCCAATGCTCCATTCAACTTCCCCCACTAACCTCTCAATAGTCTTAAATGAGACTATCTGACTGGCTGCAAGGAGGTTACCACTAAGTTAAGCCGCTAGCCCCTCAGTAGCATTTTAAAGACATCCTGTTTCCTGTTTGTTTCTTCCTGACATGCTACACTACCAGGTATGAGACCTCCTATCTGGGGCAGGGCCTTGGCTACAGTTACAAAAAGTCCAGGGTGGACCAATCCCAACCATCCCCTCCCACGCCTTTATTCATCCTCAATTGCTTATTGTTGCTTGCACAAGACTGGGGTGAGGCTTCCCAGAACTTTCTAGAGCCAAGCTAAAACTGCCTTTCCACTATACCCCAGATTTTTCCCATAATGACTGTGGAGAATGGGTTAGTAAATCACAGATCACACAGGCTCCCTAACAAGCCTCAGGACTTCCAGGATTCCCTGGAACCTGACGGAGTTGGGGCTGGGACAGAGAGGAGTTCTCTGGCAACCTTGCCAACCTCTCTTTGGAAAGCAGAGCAAAGCAGTGCCTTCATAGAAAAGCGAAACTATGTGGGCAAGCAGCTGTGAACCCTTGTGTCTGTGAGAATCTGCCCGTGTGGTTTTGCCTTTGTATATATTTTTCTCTGTGTTTCTGAGGGTCTAGGAGATAGACAGGTTGGAGGGGAATTTGGAAGCTGTGCCGACAGAAGTAACAGTGATGTAGGCTCTTCCTCACACAACCACAGAAACTACCTTAGAGAATCAGTTGTCAGGAAGGGTGACAGCAAATTGAAGCAGCAATAGGCATCTGCCTCGTGCTGGGTGAGCTTCTAGGATGGCTGATAATTTGTCTGCCTTCCCTTACTGCCTTCTCCCACCCAGGCCCTTTCAGAAATAGCAAGGAAATGGCCCGGATTCAGCTCCACGGGGTACTCACAGGTCAGGGGCCCGCTCTTTCTGCTCACCGGATTAGGACAAAAACTGGGCGTCTGGAAGAAGTCAAGGCCTCTCGACAAGGGGGAAGAAGAATTTGAAGAGTGGCAGCAATTTTCTACACCCTCTTCGATCAGCATGTTCAGACGGTAAATGGGGAAGGCACACACAACAGACTTGGGACCCATGCCAGAGGCACCATCCTTGACAGGCACAAAGACCCCAAAAAGCACTTCCTGGCCCTCTAGAATGTTCAGCTCCACAGCCAGCTTGGCATCCACTGGAGCAGAGTGGGCTGCCTGAAGCACTGGGTAGGGCTGTACGCTCTCTGGGGCTCCACTGCGTCTCCGGCGTTTAGGTGCAAAATGACAGTCCAAGACCAGCTCCCGGTAGTCACCAATCTCTGGCTCTACAGCATTGAGCCGGACCAGTCGTGTTTGCAAGGCACTGGGAGGGCTTGTGACACTGATGGGTTGTACAGTCAGAAAGTAGACAAAGTCTCCTGAGTGGAAGCTGTACACGTATTTGATGAGGTAGGAGGCCAAATATTTGGGCAGCACAGACAGCGACGGAAAACCTGGTTGGAATCCAGAAATATCAGACTTTAGACGACGGATGGACACTGAGCGTGGGCTAAAGCTAGCGGCCAACTCTGGGTCTAGTGAAGATGCCACATAGAAGTAGGAAGCATGGCCCTGCTCCACCACAGTCACACGAGTGCCCAGGGGGCTAGCCACACAGTCCGCGCAGGCCTCAGGCTTGTTATTGTTTGCTGAGAAAAGGCAGGCTGGAGCTGCCAAGTGCAGGACTTTCCCGCGAGGCTCCAGCTCATGCAGGAAGCAGCGGCCCTGTAGGGTTGAGCCACAGCTGACCAGGGCTGGCAAACCCGGTTCCATCACTAGCACCAGTGTGTCTGTGTCCTTTGGTGGTCCATGAGGGCCTGGACCACAGCTCTCACAAGTCTGGCAGGCAGGGTCCCCGATAGGGCCAGTGGTCAGGTTCTCTATATACTGCAGGTCAGGCCCAAGCACGTGCAGGCAATTGCGTGTGGCCACAAACACCGCACTATTTTTACTGTCCTCGTAGGCTGCTGTGGCCTGTACCCGGCCCCCCGCGGAGAAACTGGGGACCACGTACTTAACACTGAAGTCTCGGGAGGCTGCGTAGGGTATTCGTGGGCACTGCCAGTCCAGGTTGGTGGACGCCGCCAGCAGCCGCAAGAGAAGCATCAGCAGTAGAGAGGACTGTAGCAGCAGCAGAAGCAGCCCCATTGAGCTGGGGCCCCTTGGGAATCCCAGAAGGTTGAGGACTTCACCGAATCAGATTCAGGGTCCAGGGTCCGAGCTGAGACCAGCGTTAAGCAGCGGTACTGAAAGTCCCCAGGCAGCTAGCTGACCCACTCACTGCCCTGGTCCCTGGCAAACCCAACCTTTCTCCCTGTCCTGTGGTCTGAGCACCTGGCTGTGGACCCACGGCACGATCACCTCACTAAGGGCCCCAGCTGCTGCTTCTAGCCGCCTCTGCCACAGTTACTTGGATCAAAGTCGAAGGGAGGTGGGCCCCGTGGGTGCGGCAGGGCTGGGGGCGGGGCTATGGGCGGAGCCCTGTTGAAGCTGCTTTCTTTCCAGCTCCGTCTGACTCTTTCCAGCTGTGAGAAGGCTGTTGTAGTGACCTGGGAAGGAGTATTCCTGAATCATCCTATTCCCCCACAACCCACCTGGTTGATGTTAGAACGGTGCAGGACAATCTAGCGCCTCTCTCCCCACGACCCTCATTCACAAGAAAACCATCAGGCATTCATTCACCTTGTGGGGAACGGAGACCAGGAATGCACTGGACAGAGTGATGCGGGGGGGGGGGGTGTTCCAGAAAGGAATACATGGAACATACCTTTTGTGGTCAGAGACAATCGTTCCATATGCTTATTTTGAGAAGTGTCTGAGGAAGGTATGTTGTAACCTGTCCTGTCTGCCAAGAGCCATCGGGGTTAATGGAGTATGCCACCTCGCTCCCGGGTGGATAATAGTTAGAGGCAACTTCTGTGAAGACCTAGCCCTCTGGCTCTGATCCTGTCACTGTGGCCTCAGCATGTAAGGGGAGGGTGACTGTGGTAAATGCCTCTCCTCCAGTGCCCCAATATGGAAGAGGTGTGGCCTCTGACTTCTGGGGCACTTCTGATCTGCTCTGAGCCTTGCTTTGTGGACCCAATGTCTCTGAAACAAGAACATAGTTCTAGGTGGTTGGATCCCGAGTCCTTTTTCTAGTATGAGTGAATGAATGAAGCCCATTCTGCTTTGCCATCTCTGTTACCTGGGCCTCAGCCACTGTCTCTTGGCAAGAGGTCTTTTTCAATACCTGAGGGTGACGAGCAGGAAGAGATATTCTTAGCCGGGCAGCTTCCTTAGCTCAGTGAACCTGGGCCCTAGAGGGCTCTTCCCAGGGTGGTCATAGGCAGTTGTGAGTCCCAGGGCAGCAGAGGACAAGAGAGCTGGGGAGGGAGGAGCTTAACAGGATTCAGTCCAGCCTGGGGAATTCTACCTTTCCTACTCCACGCCCAGGACAAAACTTCACTGCCTGCTTCCCCTTTCTAACATGGCCTTAACAAATGCTTCGTCTCCCTTCGTCCTTTCATAGCTGAGATGGTATTATCCTAGGACGCCTTTTCTTGTTTGTTTTGTTTTGTTATTTAGAGACAGGATTTCTCTGTGCAGCCCTGGCTGTCTTGGAGCTCATTTTGTAGACCACATTGGCCTTGAACTCAGAGATCCACCTGCTTTAGCCTTCCAAGTGCTAGAACTAAAGGTGTTTGCCATCATGCCCAGATTTATTTATTTATTTTTTGTTTTTTTATGTTTGTTTTTGTTTTTTTGTTTTTTGTTTTTTTGTTTTGGTTTTTCGAGACAGGGTTTCTCTGTGTAGCCCTGGCTGTCCTGGAACTCACTCTGTAGACCAGGCTGGCCTTGAACTCAGAAATCTGCCTGCCTCTGCCCCCCAAGTGCTGGGGTTAAAGGCGTGCGCCACCACCACCCGGCTCCATGATTTTTTTTTAAAGCATCATTTAAAATCATCAAAAGATATGGAACACTTTACAGAGCTATGAGTCATCCTTACACAGGGGCCATGCTAATCCTCTCTGTATATTGTATATAAAAAAAAGGCCTTTTATATCCAGCCTGTGGAAAATGCATCTCATGGGCCACCAAGAGCTTGGGCTTAATACACATTCCCAACACAGTTAGTTTGTGCTCTTCCTCCATCCCCAGGGTAGGACTGCCCAGCTCAGAAATGAATAAATAACACAAAGCAAACCATGGCACCCTTCCAGTATTCCCCATGGTTAACATGTCTAAAGATAGTCATGCAGAGAAAACTGAAATACTCTCCACACAGCGTCCAGACAGGGGCTCTTGTGAATGTTGTCTTGCCTCCAGAGATTATGAGACATTTCTGGGCACGGGGGGGGGGGTGATGGGGAGGGGGAGAAGACACACATTTGGTTGGCTTTGCCCAATCCACTTGGAGGTGGAAGCAGTCATTAGTTGGTTCTCTGCTGCCACTATGTGGCTATGATGGTGACTGCACCCAGGACAAAACTCCATTGGGGGTAGAGGGTAGATAGGTTTCTCAATTGTGGAGCCCACAGGAGAATCCCTTAGTTATTTTCATCTGTGGGTTCGGCAGGACCTTCAAGGAAAGCATGAAGCCTGCACTCCCCTAAGGTAAGCTCACTGGGTTTGGCCTATTTGTCTTAGGGCTTAAACTATTCTGGTATCTTCTCACCAGTAAAGAATGCTAGCCACTTTGCCCTCCAAGGGCTCTGACCTCTCTGAACACCTCTGAAGGTCAGGACTAGTTTCTTTCTCCAATCCAGAAATCACATTAGTGAAGTCAGGGATTTCTCTCTAACTACAACATGACCACATCAGATTGTAGCTCTAAGCGACTTGCCTGCTGTAATTTCATCTGGATGTTGAAAATCCCTGGACTTGTGGACTCTGCCAGTTTCACTGCAGAACAGTTTTTATCAGGTTCTCTTTCCAAATGTGGGTGCCTCTGTTAGGAATACCTCCTTTACTTGCCTGTTATCTTATCCCTGAGCTCCAAATAGGCAAACCCCGCACGCCTAGATGCCTACTGTCCTAGGTACACATGCCTGTCTCTGACCCTCTTTCCTCATTCCTGATCAGAATCAGTGCTGAACTTCAGAAGCTGAACACCTACACGTGCTAGAGTGGCTGCCAGAGCACTTAGGGCCTAACTGCTGATCTGAACAGCCAGGGATGTCTGTCTTTTCCCAAAAGGTTGATCTGAAATCCCTGGTCAAGAGCAAAGTGAAGAAAAGCACCCAATAGCTAGGAAAGAGGCCGGGGCAGGTGTGCAGTGTGTGCTTCTGAGGCCTGTTGCCTGTTAATTCTTATACAATCTAGACTGAAACCAGAAACAACGATTCTGCTGCCAAGTAAGCACGGCATCCTTATGTGGACTGTGGTAATTCGTACATGTTCTCTTGTGTGGCCCTACTCTCCGAGACTGCATGGAGGTGGTTCTGACAGCCAGAAGACCACATTCACTGAGCACTCTCCTCTCTAGTTAGGCTTTTTGCTTCTCTAATCAATGCTGGTTAGGTCATAGCAGGACCAGGAGACCCGCCCCCCAGGAGCAAGCTGGAGGCCTTCCGTACTATGCCCCGGATTGCCCAAAGGTCTTATGGTAGAGGAAATGGAACCAGTCCTTTAGTGCCGAGGCTCCTGGGAGTGTCCACAGTACTTCATGTAGGACAGGCTGAGGGACAACCTAGTCCATCTAGTGACCTTGCTAAGGCACATCACTCCCGGAGGCTCCAGAGATCAAGTGGGTTCCCTTTGGCTCTTTTTCGGGGGGTTGTGCTGATGAACTGGTTGGCTGAGATACAGGAACCAAGGCAGACAGCGCTTCATGGGAAGGACTAAGCATGGTCCCCAGAGGCCTGCAGCTATAGGGAGACTAGTCTTGGAATTCAATCATACTCAACACTGGGTTGCCTTGCCAAGGGCTCCTACCTAGAAGCGGGTCTGGGTCATCCCCACTTGTCTTACTCAACTCAGCCTGGCCTTCCCTACAGCAGCCCATTAACCAGAGCCACAACGGGCGTGCTGGTGACTGCACTGTCCTTCGAAGCCTGCTTCTGAGCCCCACCAAGGAGTAAAGGAGTGGCTGGGGTAGGTATGGAAAGATGGAGGCAGACAAGGGAAAGACAGCAGGGTGCTTATGAACCCTTTACATGTAGCAGGACTTTGGTGGAACCGAATCAGCCCCAGACTAGAATGTGACTCCACATGTGAGTGTCTTGATGCTGGCAAAAGGGCGAGAAAAGAGAGGCTCAAATGAGCATGTGCTCCCAAGTACACGGAATGAGAAGGGGTGGAAAGAGGATCCTGTGTCTATATGTCAGAGTGGTTGGGAAGAGCCAATGACAAGGCTGGGTGTGCTGGTGCACACCTTTACTCCCAGCACACAAGAGGCACAGGCAGGGTCTCTGTGAATTTGAGGACAGCCTGGACATGGTGAGTTCCGACAGCCAATGCTACATTGAGAGAGCCTGTCTCAAAAACCAACAAAACAGAACAAAGAACCAATGACAAAGTGCAACAAGTGTCTTTCTCAACACACTTTAATGCACGCACCAGCCCACAGTCCCTGCCTGCTGGCTGGGCAGGGGAAGCCAGCCTCACCTGGAGGTTCCCATGGCTTCCCATGCCCAGTGTGCCTTCCCACTTCCATCAATAGGTGAGGGGCGTGAGGATGAAGAGACGGTCTTCCTCTTTACGGATCCAGCGCATCAGCTTATGGATGGCACTGACAGCTGATGCCTTGGTCCCCAGTGGGCTGTAGCACATGTAGAGCTCAAAGGCACCTGTCACCTGGAGGAGGGGCAAAGGGTCATCGTCTAGAATAGGTATGCCCCTGTGGCATCTACCCAGGATCCGTGTGAAGACCAGTCCGTCTAGGGCCACCTTACCCAGGCTAGGAGGTTCTCATTGGGGCCTGTATAGTAGATGGTCTTGAGTGGGCGAGAGGCATTGTGGGCACGGCTGTGCAGGTACTGGTAGAGGCCCAACAGGCGCTCCTGCTCCTCTTCACTGGTGTATGGGGCCTCAATCTCAGGACTGCAAACGGAGAAGTGGGTTCACAAAGGAAGGCCTTTCACTGCCTTCTCTGGAGATCTAGAAATATCTGTTTGTGCCTGTTCTCCAGGTGCGCCCCTACAGAAGTACTGTCTTCTGGCTACAGAAGACTACCCAGCTCAGAAGGGAGCCCTGCCCCCTTCCCAGGTTCACAGTGACCCTTCCTTGGAGAGGCTGTTTCTGAGTTTAGGTATCTAACAGAGTAGCAGGTCTAGAGTGAAGCAAGGCAAGCTAGGAAACCTGAGCCCAAAATGGAGGGAACAGGAAGGGAGGGCAGACTCTGACATATCTGCCCAGCTCCTTTATTGGGGGTGGGGTGGGTTCTGCATCCTGGCCTGGACCAAAATTACCTCAAAAGCAGAGCTGCTACAGGGCAAAGGACGTGGGAAACCCTGCATTCCAGCCTCTTTCCCAAGTTGTTCCAGGCCTTATGAGTACTGAAGTAGAGAGGTGTGTGCCCACCAAATGATGCCACAGTGGATCAGCCCCAGTATATTGGTACACTCTCAAAAGAGTGGTCCGATTCAGGGCTGCGTCTCAGGTCTCAGGACCAACCAGCCTCCCCCATCTCTGCATCCTTGTCTCCCTGAAGCAGTGCCTCCTCTCACCTGGTGAAGAGTCCTGAACTCTTTGATTTATAGAGGAAGTGGCGAAGGTCAGGGATGCCCACTTGGGCAACGCTGTAGTAAGGAGTGCGCAGTGCCTCCCGCAGGGCCAAATGGGCTCCCCGCTTTCGGAGGCGCTCCTGGAAACGGCGGCGGCAGTCAGAGACTGCAAAGAAGTCCTCACGGTCAGTGGAGATCAGCAGCAGGCAGAGGTCAGTGTCAGGTTCTAGGTAAGAGATGTGTGCGTGGAAGAAGCCGGCCGCATTGAACTTTGGCAGGCACACAGGGGTCCAAGCCTCGCCCTCACGGAAGGATGAGGAGGAGCTAATGAGGTTGAAAAGCAGGTGCAGGTCGATAGGATGCAAGAATTGGTCCTTGCGGCGCACGAGCGCCACCAGCTGGTTGCGGGCCAGCAGGATGGAAAAGACCAGGCTGCGAGCACGCGCCTGCTGCAGGCTGGCACTCACCGTGTCCCGCACGGCCGCTGCCAAGGGCAGGCACCGCGCCGCGCCCATCAGGAAACTGGGGTCTCGAGCCATTAGCTGCAGCAGGTTATCCGTGATTCGCTCCGAGCCCGAGAGCAGGCGCCGCAGGTCGTAGTTCTGCTTCTGCTGGAAGATGTGGCTCAGCTGCGCGCCGGTAAGAAGGCTCAGGATCTGATAGTAGATGTACAGTAGCTCCTGCGCCAGCTCCTGGGCCGACTGCCGCGTGCGGGCCACCGCCACCAGCACCAGAGGGCTCCGGCGCACGAATACTACCTTGTAGCCATCTGAGGGTGTGGGGAGGGGGTCAGCTTCAGCCCTCCTCCCAGAAGCCCTCCCGGATAGGCTTTCCCAGTGGGTACACAGCTTCACTTTGCAGGGTTTTCTTGCTGAGAGCTCTGAGGGGACTTATTGGCGTGGTTAGCCAGTCACCTCCCTTCCCTGCCATTTGCTTCACAAACTAACATTCTTTTATCTGTTTGGTTTTTGAGAGCGTCTTGCTAGCCCAGGTTGGCCTGGGACTGGCTAATGTAGCTGAGGCTGATTCTCCTGCCTCCACCTCCCAAGTGCTGGGGTTTACAGATAATTGGACATCACCAGACCCCAGCTCAAGAAAACACATTTTTATGGTAAGTGCTAACTCAATTAGCAAGCGATCTGGGCTAAGGATCTGGGATCGACTGTTTGTTTTTAATTTATTCATTCTTCTGTCACTGCCCCCAGGAGGCTTTCATCCTTTCTGGTGGCAAAACTCTGGCCTTGCCACAGCCCCACCACCTCAGGAGGCCTCTATTGCTCTATTGTTATCCTACCCACCTGCGGTGAGAGCATAAGGCTTAAGAGATGAAAGTACTTGTCTCTCAGGCCTAGACAACCTAGGTTTCTAGGGGTGAGAGAGAGAGAGAGAGTGTGTGTGTGTGTGT